TTTTTTTTTTTAAATGATTCTGAGTTTTGTTGCACATTGTTCTCCTGCTCTATCCAGGATCTCCTACATAGATCCTCCTCCAACCATGGGGAATTTTTTTAGTACTGCTCCCCCTCAAAGAAAGGAAACTAAATTAGAGGCTGAGTGCTTGAATCAGAATGGGTAGGTCCAGATCAATAGGGAGAAAAATGTGGGGCAGAACTTCAAATTTTTATGGAATCCAGGTTTTTTGAAGTCATTGAGGCTGGACGACCCCTGAAATTATTGCCCTGAGGATATCTGTAAACTCTAAACCAAAACTATGCCTTGAAGGCATCTTTAAACCAAATAGTAGTTGAGCTTAACTAGGAAAGAGTGTCTGCTTTGCACATTTTGTTATTTTAAAGGGTTATCTATTTTAGATCAAATTGGCAACAGCACTAGAAAGGTTAGATGAGACACTTAAGGGCAGTGAGTTTCCATTGATGATGGTAAAACAGTTTGGAAAAGGATAATGAGAAAGGTGGCACCACTCAAAATGTGTAGCCACTGTTGCTAGATTGTACATACAGAAATTGAATTGATGTATGTTTTGCTGTGTAGATCTTCACCCTCCAAAAAATAGTAGTAAAAGGGTAGGACCTGATGTTCCTAAGCCATGGCAAAGTCATGTAGACTTTTGATGCACATATATTGACACTTAAGAGCTCTGGTAGCGTAGTGCCAGCCACTCCTCGGAAGGTTAGGCAATCTACTTATATAGTGTACCACCTTGGGAACCCAAGGAGGGGTCACTATGAGTCAGGTCCGACTCAACAGGTCCGCATAACAACATATTGACACTTAGTTTACTTAGAGTAGGAGCTCTGTTAGCATAGTGCCTAAGGCACTTGACTGCTAACCAGAAGGCTGGAGGTTCAAACCCACCAGCCACTTCTTGGAAGGAAGGTGGGGCAATCTACTTCCATAGTGATAGTGCCTGGGAAACCCAAGGAGGGGTCGCTATGAGTCAGGTCCAACTTGATGTCACATAACAACAACAACAATGGGCATTCAGCAAGCCAAAAAAAAATTGACCAAAACGATCGTTAGATAAGCTCTGGCTTTAAAAAAGACTTTTAGTTTGGTAATTTGCATATTTGAAATTGAAGTTCAGAGTGTTTTTTTTTTTTTTTTTTAAAGGAAAAAGAAAAGAATTTTCCTCTTTAGCCTGACTTGGTTTGTTATGTAAGGACTAAATTGAGCTGTTTATCAAGATGTTGTTGTTGTTGTTATTATGTGCCGTCGAGTTGGACTGAACTCCTCCTTGGGTTTCCGAGGCAGTATCAGTATGGGAGTAGATTGCCCAACCTTCCTTCCGAGGAGTGGCTGGTGGGTTTGATCCGCCAGCCTTCTGGTTAGTGGTCAAGTGCCTTAGGCACTATGCCACCAGAGCTCCTGTTTATCAAGATAAGGTATATAATTCCCACATGAACATCTGATAGCTTAAAATTGTATCTAAAAATGTCTAATTACTATATGTTATTTCTAAACAGATTACTTCCTTAAGGGTCTTTAAGGAGTTGTGATTAATCAAATCATAACAGATAGGAAGGTGCTTTTATAAAATGTAGAGATATTGCTAATGAAAGTGAGATAGTGTGTCTGTCCTCAGTAATTACAACATCAAGGTGATGGGGATGTCATAAGATTGCCACTGACATTAATTTTGTTTTCCTTTTGTAGGAGGAAGAGGAGGAGGAGGAACTAGTGGTAAGAACTGTCTCAGGTTTGGAACCATCTCAGTAAAAGCAGGAAGTTTGAGCAACATGAAACTTTAAAGGCCTTTTGAGGAGTCTTGACACCTTGGAGAAAATGAGGGTGGAATAAGCCTTTAGTACTTCTTTCCAGTGCAGTGGAGTGTTTGGGACTATAGGCTTGGGAAGCTGAGTCTGGCTTTGAGGTTTCTCCCTTCTCCAGTCGTGGTGCCAGGGGCAGAGCATCATCTTTATAAAGAACTTTGGGAGGAACCCTTCTTAGGTGGTCCCTCTTCATATTAACATTGCCTTTCTAGTTGGGGTGTGTAGACCTGGTTCCCAGACAGGGGAATTGAAGTCTCACAGACGTGACATATCACAAAATGCTGTGTTAACAAGTAAGGCCTCCTATAGATTTACTTTAAGTTTGGCCAGGTTTCCTTTACCACCCTTGTTTTTCAGATAGGACTGAGGCTTTCAGTGCATACTGGCAACCTTGGAAGGCAGGATTGTGAAACTTTCCCCTACTACTTAGCATCAGAGTTGAATGGGAGACCCCATTCTGCCATTTCTGGCGGCAGTGTGGCTCTGCCAGCTGGCCTTCTGCACGGTAATTCAGAGGCAGCTCCTTGGTTTTGTGGTTGTATTAATCAAAGCATATGGTTTAGTTAGTTTCCTTCTAAAAACCCCATTTTGTTCTTTTTCTGTGTTTATCCTTCAGGATCCCCTAACAACAGTGAGAGAACAATGCGAGCAGCTGGAGAAATGTGTAAAGGCCCGGGAGCGGCTAGAGCTCTGTGATGAGCGTGTATCCTCCCGGTCACAGACAGAGGAGGATTGCACAGAGGAGCTCTTTGACTTCTTGCATGCAAGGGACCACTGCGTGAGTCAACCTAAAGTCAGAAAGGGGAAGGCTTATGCTGGCCAGGGAAGACTTGCTACTAACAACCTTAACATCCTAGGGAGAAGTCCAAAAGGCATTTACATGCAGGACCAATATATGCCAGGGACAGTGCTAAGCCCTTTACATAAATAATCTTAACTAGTCCATACTTGACAGCACGTAATAACAACAACAGTCCATACTACTGCCACTAGAGATAATGGTATTATCTCCACTTTTAAGTTGTTCTTTTAGATAATTTATATCTTTCAAAGTATCTTGTACATTGTAGTTAATCCAAAAACATTTTTTGTTTTTATTGTAAACTTGTGTTGACTGTTACATATAATACTAAGCTATTTTATGTGAAATTACACATAGGCAAAATTTAGTATGGTTGCTTGTGTTAAAACTGATTGGGTGACAAATAAGCACATGAAAGGATGCTTGATATATTATTAGCCAACAGGGAAATGTAAGTCAAAACAACGAGATACCACCTCACACCCATTTTTTTTCTTTTGAGTTTATTCCAGCTCATGGTGGCCCCATGTGTGTCGAGTAGAACTGTGTTCCATATGGTTTTCAGTGGCTGATTTTATTTTTGGAAGTAGATGGCCAAGTCTTCCGTCTGAGGTCCTTTGGGTGGACTTGAATGCCCAGCTTTATAAATAGCAGTTGAGTGCATTAGCAGTTTGTACCACTCAGGGACTCACCAAACCAAAAAAACCAAGCTCATTGCCATTGAATCGGCTCCAACTCATAGCAACCCCTTCTTGAGACCCCGCCTTCGGTTTCCACGGCAGTATCTCTACAGAAGTAGCTTGCCCAATTTTCCTTCCGAGGAATGGCTGGTAGGTTTGAACCACCAGCCTTCTGGTTAGCAGTCAAATGCTTTAGGCTCTATTCCACCAGAGCTCCAGGGACTAGGATGGCTATAATCACACAGACAGATAATAACAAGTATTGGAAAAGATGTGGAGAAATTAGAACCATAAAGTGCTGGTAGGGATGTAAATTGGTACAGCCATTGTGGAAAACAGTCTGGCACTTCCTCAAAAGATTAAACATAAGACTTACCATTATAATCCAATAATTCTACCCCTAGGTATATACCCAAGAGAAATTAAAATATATGTCCACACAGAAAGTTGTACATAAAATTTTATAGCAGCATTATTCATAATAGCTAAGAAGTGAAAATAATATAAATGTCCATTGAATTGATAAATCAGAAACCAAACTAATTGCCTTCGAGTTGATTCTGACCAATGGTGACCCCATGTATTTCAGAGTAGTACTGTGTTCCATAGTGCTTTTAGTGTCTGGGGTCTTTTAGAAATAGGGATTTGAACTGCCAACCTTTTGTTAGTAGCAAAGTGCTTAACCAGTTGTTCACCCAGTAACTCCTGAATGGATAAAGTATATTGTATCCATTTATTATCATTATTGTCAGGAGCCATTGAATTGACTCCTAACTCATGGCAACACCATATACAACAGGACTGGATAATTACGATTCATAAGGTTTTCATTGATTGAATTTTTGAAGTAGATTATGAGGCCTTTTTCCTCATAATCAAACTAGGTCTGTCTTAGTCTGGAAGCTTCACTAGAGCCTGTCCAGCATCATTGTGACACATAAGCCTCCACTGGCAGACAGGTGGGTGGTGGCTTGGGATGCGCTGACTGGAATTAAACCTGGTACAATGTAATATTACTTGGCAAAAGAAATGAAGTACTGTTACAACACGGATGAATCTTGAAAATATGCTAATTGACTGCATTATATGATTCCATTTATCGGAAATGTCTAGAATAAGCAAATCATAATCTTTGATTACAAGCCTTGCCAGTGATTTCCTCCCTTCCTACTTTTTATTAATTCAGAACGTATTTGAATACTCTTAAGAACCAGGCATTGGATTAAGATTTGAGATGTAGTTGTATATAAATGAGACAAGCATAGTCCCTTACTTTACTAAGTTCACTAAGTTTATGAACCAACTTAAGAGGTGGGAGTGTAGAGCAGATGATTGCTAAACTATGGTAAGTCTCTTGGGTGTAAGCTTTTCAGGGTGCTTTACTGACCACCATCCCTAAAGTTGGTATTTTTCTTTCCTCATTTTTCTTATAGCATTTATTCTATCAGAAGTTATGTTTTTTATTTACTTAATTTCTGTTATTATATAAGGGACAGATTTTGATATGGAAGATAAAGGTTTAATGGGAAGAACAGAGAAGGGCCAGATTTCTGTGGGGTGGGGACCTGTTTAAGAGAAAAGTTTATAGGAAATTACGTGTAAACTAAGTTGTAAAGGAAGAATGAAAGTTAGGTGAAAAAAGTGGGAAAGAGAGTTTCAGGGAGAAGGGAGATTAATATTCAGGTAGCTAACAAGCTCATGTGCGGTGTGGATGTATGAAAAGGAGAGTGGTGGTGAGAAGAGATACTACTGTTGTAGGTCATTGAAAGACCTTAAAAAACTATGACATTAAAGCTGCCACTTGATGACATCCTTTTCTTTTTCCTATCTAGGTGGCCCACAAACTCTTTAACAGCTTGAAATAAATGTGCAGACTCATTCACCCCAGCCTTCGTCACATGGGCATCAGGATGTTTTCTTATAGTTTTAAATATGCCATCTATTTCTAATTTGTGTAAGTTCTTGTGAACCTCATGGATGTTGGCATAGACCAGTAGCTTCTATGTAATTAACAGTAATTCCAGCTTAATAAAATTCAGTGACATGCAGTCTTGCCTCTTTTTTTTTTAAATTAGAAAATTTCAAACATAAGACAGACTAATATAATCAGCTTCTGTACAAGGATGTATCTCTAAAGGATAAGGACTTTTTATACAGCCATCATGCATTTATCACACTAATCAAAATTAACAGTAATTGCTTAATACTAAATACCTTAGTCCATATGAAAATTTGTCTTAAAGTAGTTTTAGACTTTTTTTGTTTCAATATCCTTAAAATTTCCCTTTTTTTTTTTTTTTGTGAAAAAGAAAAAAAAAAACCCACATTTTAATAAAAGGAGTGAGAAGTGGGTAGGGTTGGAAGGAAGACGGTATTGGAGCCTGGGCAGGGAAGGGAAAGCATACCTGGGTAGGCAGTGCTGACAATGGGAGATCAGTTTCAGGAGGATTAATCCAGTAGGTAAATACATTGAAGATAATGGGAGCTCCCACTGTCTGAGGAAATACAGAAAGGAGAAAAAGACAATGAAACCTATGGTGTTAAGTTGGAATGGACTAAGTAAATAAGATTTCACTGTATGTATGTAGGGTATATATATATAAAATCCCTAGCTCTGTCCACAGAGGACTTCATTCTTCAATAAAAGGAACCAGGGCTCCTTGGAGAAATGGCTGATTTCAGTGCTAGAGCAGGGAAAGTACAAGATGAGAATGGAAAATTTCATTATTGAAAGAAATACTCAGTTATAGACATGTCCAAAGTACATAAAATCCACTAGATCTTGGATAATAAGAGCATCAAAACATATGTTGATATTAGGTTGTAACTCACTGGAAGAAATAGAAATCCATGCTAATATAAATAATCAGTTGAAAGTTGGTGAGGAAGGGGATGCTTATTAATTACAAAAGGCGGAGTACAAGGAATCCTGGCAGATAGCATCTTAAGTAATAAAAGTTGACATTGCCAATAATAGGGCAAATCAAAACTACTAATAGGCAGCAATGGGAAGAACAAAACATTGAGATTCCTGCAAAAGAATATTGGAAATTGAAAGATATTTTACAAAATGGTCCTCACTTGTATCAATCTCATGAGTCCATGAAAGAATTCCTCAGTTTGAAGGAAGCCCTTCAACTAGATGGACTGATACTGGCTATGACAGGGCTCAAGTACAGCAGCGATTGTGAGGATGGCACAGGACCAGGCAGTGTTGTTCTGTTGTACATACGGTTGTTGTGAGTTGGAAGTCAGTTGATGGCACCTGACAACAACAAACGACAACTAAACGGAACATGATTCTAACTGGATTCTTTTAAGGTATTGGGATAATTGGTGAAATTTATATGGAGTCTGTTATATTGCAGTGATGTGTTAAGGTTAAAGTTTGAAATTGTAAACACAACCCCCAAAACAAAAACCAAACCCATTGCCATTGAGTTGATTCTGAATCATAGGAGAGAGTAGAACTGCCCCATAGAGTTTCCAAGGCTGTAAATCTTTCTCCTGTGGAATGGGTGGTGGGTTCAAACTGATGACCTTTTGGTTAGCAGTCCAATGCTTTAATCACTGCCACCAGAGCTCCTTACAAACATCCCTAGTAAATCTCAAATGCATATAATAGAGGCTGATTTCAGATTTAGAGTACCAGGTAGGGCCATGAGCTAGCCACAATCCTTTCTATGTCTACCATTAGAACTTGGCATATTTTGGCACAAAAACTGAATAATGATGAGGCTCCACAACATTGCTAGTATATTGCTCAAGGGATAGGGAAAATATTCCCTGTTCTAATTGGGAAGACAGTCTAGGCCAATGCTGTTGAAAAGAACTGGGATGATGGAAATGTTCTATTCTTCACTGTCCAATATCATAACCACTAGCTACATGTGGCTGTTGAGCATTTCAAATGTGGCTAATGTGACTGAGGGACTAGATTTTATTAAATTTGAATAAATTTAAATAGCCATGTGTGGCTTTGATTGGACAACGCAAGTCTATGAGTTGCAAACTCAACCCACCTGAGTGATGACAGAAGGAAGAATACAAACTGAAAGACAAATTGAGGCCTGTACATTTCCTTCAAACAGCCCCAGGGTTACAGGTGAGGAGAGACAACTCAGGGATGCCCAAAGTAGCAAGCAGGAAGAGCAGGAGAAAGGAGATTAAAAGCCAGGAAGCCAGAGAGAAGAGCAGTCAGCCGAAGGGATTAGGTGAGGAGAGGAAACTCAGGCTCGCCCAGAGTAGCAGGCCAGAAGAGCAGGAGAAAGGGGATAAAAAGCCAGGAACCCGGACATAGGAGCAGTCAGCCCCAGGGACAACTCAGGGATGCAAAAAACAGCAGGGCAGAAGAGCAGGAGAAAGGGGATTAA